GTCTGAATGGACACTCCGAGTCCAGTTCTAATGCTGAAAATTGAGTGACTTTTGAATTTTTTTTTCAAGTTCAACCTGTGAATACTGCAAATCACGTTATCAATGTTTATGGTGACAAAAATGATAACAATAATAATATGTTGACAATATTGATAATAGAGATGAATCTATGTTAAGAATATGAATATTAGTGACAACGAGAAAGAAATAGATGTTGTTGTTGGAAGGATATACCTGAATACAGGCGGTGAACGTTCTCTCTTCAGATCCGCAAGACTGTCACCGACTAATGTCATAACAATCATGAAAAAGTTTTCCTTCTTCACACGATCGATAATTTTCGTAAAATGACTATTTTCACTGGTGTTCGATGACATTAATTTTAATATATGCATCTGAAATTGCCACATCGACGCTTTTCAATGCTTTCACTAGAATGTTTTATTATTATAACGCTTCAGATATATCTGTCATAGTGCCATGATTACACTGTGCTCATAAAAACGTCAAATTGGATAGAAATTCAGTGCATTAAAAAAAATGAAATCTATGATTTCATAACGAATCCACTCTTTCCGCTCATCTCAAAACCAACGTTGCACCAATAAGTTATTGTGAAATCTATTGTGCCATTTCACTGAATGCATTGATTCGATTAAACTGCACTAAATCCAATCGACTGGTGTCTTGTGAAAATGGAATTTCCTAGGTGTGTTGTGAAAATGAAAATGAAAATAAAATGAAAATGGAATGGAATTTCCACTGAATCCAAAAATGAAAATGAAAATGGAACAGTCTACGATGCGCTCTGATAAGACGAGCTCAACTTTAAGAATCAATAGGATTATTGCGACGAGTCACCTCCATATTAAGTTTTGAATGTTCTCGTCGTTCAAGTTTTTGCTCCACTTTCATTGCGTATTCTTTACCGTCCGTTGGTTCGGGATGTACTCGATAGACGGCACCGTAACCGCCTTGACCGATTTTTTCGTCAACAACATATTTGGCCGACTTGCTGAGAATGATGCATTCGTTGAGAAGTGATGAAGCCACAAAATTATTCATAAGCTAACATCTTCTAATTATATGGCCGATATGTTAATATGGACGTCGGATAAACACTCAATCAGTTATACTGCTTATGGCCTCTCGATGACAAACTACTCAAATCAATTCCCAACGCGAACGACTAAGTATTGCCAACTGACAAATGAGATGAATTTCATGTGAAATTAAAGTTGACAAGGTTGAATAAGTTATGCGATCGTGTTGAAAATATCGAACTTCCCATCAGATCAGCCAATTCCAAGCGTATACACTCAATAATATGCGCTTGAGAATTCAATTTGTTATCTATATTGGAACCACAAGCAAGATATCAATTCTTGATTGCTGCTCATTCACTAAGAGCTGATCAAAATAACAACCGACTGATCAAAACCGATACCATGAAACATATTGTCCAGGTTCAATGTCCATACCATCCGTGTCATCGGCACTCGTCGTAATTTTCATATATTTACTGATACTCATCTTTATCGGATGAATAAAGACGAGTCAACCGACCGACCGCCACTCGCTAAACCAATATAAAACTTTATGTGATGGCTCAATCGTGAAACTTTTATTCACTGTTTTCTCACTTTCGCATGCTAATTTTTGAAATTTATTAGCATATTTCAAGCAATTTACATCCAAGAAGCAATTATTTATCAAAAAAATCGCAACATCAACCAGGCGTTGGTTTTTTTTGGAAAACCCACTATTCAAAAATTGCTCGATTATTTTCGATCAATACCTGGAAAACAAAAACTTCTGTGGTCACTGGATTCAGAATTGGCTTTACATAAAAATTCTTAAGGAAAGAATTCATGAGGGCAGTCGATTCCTTCTGTCAGCTAGACCGTCGCGTTGCTCATTGCTCACTTCAAACAGTTTTAGATGGACTCTCATTCTTTTCAGACGTGTTGTATTCACTCTCATAGCTATTACATGGGAATACCGTTCTCTTGATGAGTTTTTCTCATTCACTTCGTTTCATTTCACTTCACAGTTCAAATAAACTTCTCATTCTGTAGCAAATACTATTTACTGGATACGTTGACGAGTGTTGACAGCCGAAGTCAACAATACAGCAATTGAATTGAATTGCTCAACAGTCGAATGACCAATTATAGAGTATATTCGATAGAATGAGAATTTCACTTTAACTGTTGAGTGAAACGAATGAGAAATTAACGCAAGAGAACACTTTTGGTGATAAAAGCTATGAGAGCGATTGAAACAGCAAGGAAAAGAATGAAAACCCTTTTAAAACGAATGGAAACCCTATTAGCCCCAGACGAGTGTCTTCGCCTGATTATATGTTAATTTAATAATTCAGGAATGCACTTTCATGTGTNTCAGATGACCTGAGTTCATTAACAGTGAACAATAAAGGCTTCCAGTTATAATCATAATAGTTATATTAATGGTGGCAGTGACTGATAGTAATAACCTAATGAAGATTTTCTTTCAGCATAATATATTTGATCGATGAGACATTTGAAATCCCAAATCGGCGAAAAATATTATGGTTAAAGACTTCGGCATTTGGTTGTGCTAAAGTATGATCGCTTCAGCTAAGGTTCTTCTCGCCTTCTCGTCATTCAACCGACGCAAATCCCATGGGATCGTCGACTTTTGTTGGATTGAAAATATTCTTTATGGCGTATCCTCTTTATGCATTCCATCCTTTTTGTCTTATCCACCCGTGATGTATCTATCCGTTTCAATGCACACAATTTCTAACAAACGCCTGGAGCATTTAGACACAATTATTCACATCTAAATTTACAAGTTTTATGCTATTTAACATCTTTAAGTGTCCAGTCATTCATCCATCCATCTCTTATCCATTTTGATCTTATCAATACCACTTCAATATCTGTTCTCTTCTTAAATCCTCGAATTTATTCGTCGGATATTTTAGCCGTTTGCTTTTTCATTATTATCACCACTTTTGCTTTGATTATTGCTGTTGTTTTTTCTCATATAATATTCCATCATTCGTAAGTTTCATTACTGCTTCTTAAATGTGCTTATTATATGCATGCTGTTCATTTTCGAGCTTCATGCTTCATTAATGTACTGGTCTTAAGTAATAACCGACGAATAGCCATGCCACTTGTCCTTGCTTTGAACGTGTCTACTGTCCCTTGCCTCATTTAAATTTTTCCAACTTCACATTATCCCAGTTGTTGCTTTTCGATCGATCTCAACTTCTTATTCATTTGTCATTGCTTCAAATCACTTCACGCCTCATTAACTCAACTCCTCATCATCTTAATGATTTATGCTATGCGAGATTATGGAACTGAAATACTGTTGCTGAATGGGCTGGCAAACTTGTGTTTGTTACCCAAATAGAGAAGTTTGAGGCAGTTATCATTTCACTCATCTCCTCATCAGGTTTCATTATGATCAAGTGTCCTTGAGCGAGTAAAATATTGCGCGTCCTGTATGAATATATGTCTTTTTCTAGGTGTTATTTATTCCATTTTAAGTATTGAAACAATTATTTGACTGTATGATATGGAAGTCAAGTTTACTTTATTCAAGGATTAAGCTGAAAATTTTGATGCACTGTGATACAGTTCAAATGATCCAAGTAATACAATTATATTACAACAGTGGTTTTTGTATGGTGTTTAGCAATATTTGATTGATTTCATCANTAAGATTGTTCGGCATTTTGCGTGATACTCAATAAAAGATAAAATTGAGATTGTGTTCAACGCGTATATGATAAATCTTCAATAGATAACACTCATCTGATGTTCATTATATTCTTTGGTGTTGCTTTATCGAACTGTGTTGTGGTAAGTTATAATATTATATTTGAACCTCTTTCGAAAGCCCATTAATTTATGTATTTATTCTAGCCTCATTAGTGATTTAGTGACCCGTACTGAGCAATGAATTCTAGGGATTTATGTTTATTTTGACCGATTGGTTTGATCTAGAAGCCATCAAGAGGTGATAAAATATTACCACGCTAACGATTCTCCTCTTATTGATAAAGAACTTTCAGCGAGTCTCCGAAGCGACTGATATGGATGAATATAGTAAGCTGATTCGGAGTGAAGTTCGATTACGAATCGATGATTTGCATGTGTTCGGTGGTGTAAATATCAGTGAAAATGATTTCATGAGATGTAAATTCTCATTGCATCGAGACCATTGCTCGAACCCAATCATCACAGCGCTTGAAACAGTTGCGTGGAACACAAAAATCTGCTTTCTTTGGAAGTGTCAAATACGTTCGTTTCTATCGTTGTGAATTCATTTTTTGGAGTAATAATGATAACAATCATAGTGATAGAGTATATGTGAATATGAATGAGTGATCGAACGCGTTGGTTACCTGAGGAGTGCTTTATGATTACACAAAGACAATCAGTAGTTTAATAAT